CCACTATCTCTCTTCCCTCCTCCTTTGATTTGGCTGCTGGAGGGGCTGGTGGTTGACAGGCCACAACAGTAACTTAGACCTCTGCCTTCACAACATTCCAGCTATGTTGACCCAAAGACAGGGTGCCCTAATATCACCCTTGACTGTAGCATCATTTCTAACCTGAGGGAGATGGACAGATACATACTAGAACAGTCCAATTCACCCAGAGTGGGAACAAAACATAACAAGGTAGTCTTGAACATGAAAGGTAGTCTTCAAGTTACAAACATTCATGAGTCAAATGTTTGAAGTTACCACAGCACTGAAAAAGGTGACTTACAACCAATTCTCACATTTACAACTGTCACAGCACCTCCAGAGTCATGTGATCAGAATTGTGGTAACTCGTATATTTACCACAGTTTGCAGTGTCTCGGGGATAGGCAATTGTCATTTGTGACCTATTCAGATGGCTTCTGACAAGTCAAGAGGGGAGGCTGGATTTGCTTAACAATTGCACAATTGGGTTAAACTCCAGTGATTCACTTAACAACTGAGACAAAATAAAGATCGTGCAATTAGACATGACTCATTTAACAACTGTTGTGCTTAGCAGCAGAAATTCTAGTCCTGCTGGCTGGGGAATTCTGGGCGTTGAAGTCTTAAAGCTGCCAAGGTTGGGAAAACCTGTCTTATGGGGGAACATGTGGGAGGATTTTGGGAAATTAAAATGGCGGGTTAGTCTATTGGTGCTCAACATAAAACCCTACTGTTGTCTGGTGACAGAGGACAACTAATAAAATCTATAAGGAGGATGTGTGGCAGGCTAATCATAATTTATCGAAAGAGTGATTGATAATCTGTTAGGTGCAGGACCCGTTAATTTGGGAAACAGATCAAATTTCCGTAGTACCTTTATCTTTCCCCAATCATTACCTGCCGCGAGGAAAGAGAATATGGGAAGAATAGTAAAATCATAGATTTGGCAGGTATCTTGAAGGCTATTTTCTAAACTATTTTATGTTTAGTGCAGGAAATTAAGGAACATTCACAAGCTGTCCGGTGATCTGTTAAAAGCCTGAGAGCAAGGAAGATCTTCAAAGAACAAGTACATCACCCAAGTCCTCTTTTTTGTTTTCCTTTAGTTGTCGAACCCAGCCTACTTTTTAAAAGCTTCGGTCTTTAAACAAACTTTTTCTTTTTACCCAGAATCTGCCTATACCTATATTAGACACATATATTAGACACATAAATACATTTTTGTAGGTCTAAAGCAGCTTGGAAATGTCCTCTATATAGGTAGTCCTCTACTTATAACCATTTATTTTGTGATCATTCGACGTTACAACGGCACTGAAAACAATGACTTACGGGCATTTTTGGTGCAATTGTTGGAGCAGCTTCATAGTCACCTGATCAAATTTCAGATGATTGGCAACTGACTCATGTTTATGATGACTGCAGTGTCCTAGGGTCATGGGATCCCCTTTTGTGACCTTCTGATGACCAAAGTCAAAAACTTAAAAACTGTGTTACTAACTTAACTACTGCAGTGATTCACTTAACAACGGTGGCAAAAAAAATCTCATAAAACGGGGCAAAACTCAATAACTTTATGACAGAAATGTTGGGCTCAATTGTGGTCATACGTTGAGGATGACCTGTAGATAGGGAAGTGGAAAAAAGTTTACTCCATGTGAAAGTTCTCAATGGTATTTTCACCAGTGTGAAAACACACAAAAGGTTTATGTCCCAGCTGGCAGTGATCAGGAATAAAAGGTGAAGGTAAAGGTTCCCCTCGCACATACGTGCTAACTGTTTCCGGCTCTAGGGGGCAGCGCTCATCTCCATTACAAAGTCGAAGAGCCAGCACGGTCCGAAGACGTCTCCGTGGTCGTGTGGCCAGCATGACTAAACGCCGAAGACACACGGAATGCTGTTACCGTCCCATCAAAGTGGTTCCTATTTTTCTACTTGCACTTTTTATATACTTTAAACTGCTAGGTTGGCAGAAATAGGATGTGGGTAATCAAGGATGCCATCTGGTGAGTCATTCATGTTACAGTGCCATGCTGGCTCTGTGCCCACATTGCAGCTAGTTTGCCATGGAGAGAGGGCTATGAAAAAAAGCAGGAAAATGGGCAATTTAGCTCCAAGGTTGGTTCCTGTAGCATCTTCTCAGCCCTTGGCACTGCATAGTTGTAGACACTCATGCTGCTATACTTCAAACTTAACATACTGAATATGTGTGTGTGTGTGTGTGTGTGTGTGTATTTGTTTTCTGAGGTTCTCGCGGGTATTTGTATGTGGATCTTTGGTTATTCGGGTTTTCTCCCACGTAAGATTAGAAGTATCTAGGCAAGTTTCGACGAAGTCTCATTCATCATCTTCAGGCTTGTGTCTTCGGCTCTGTGCTTCTCAGAGTAATGTGAGGTTGCAGCTGCTTCTTCCTTTTAACTGCTAGTGGGGGTGTGACTTGATTGGGTGGGGGCTTGGATGTGTTCTGATTGGGTGGGGGGTGTTCTGATTGGTTGGGGGGTTGGCTGTGTTCTGATTGGTTGGGGGGTTGGCTGTGTTCTGATTGGCTGGGGGTGAGTTCTGTTCAGGTGGGGGCCTGGTTGTGCTCAGGTTAGTCTTAGTTGCCAGGGGATTTGAGCTGGTGAGCTGTGATCTGTTGTTTGGCTTCGTGGTCGTGCCACATCTTCATGGTGGGCGTCCATTCGCTTCATGTATGGGTCGGAGGGGTTGGAAGCAGGTAGTGATGCAGCTGTGGTACGGCTTCTGGTCCATGGTCGTGTCTCATCTTCTGTGTGGGTGTGAGTCTGCTTTCTATGTAGAAGTGTGGTGGTAGCATCTTGTGTGGCCCTCGTGGGTATGGGTCTGGTGTCATTCTTCATGTTCGGTACTCATTTGTTAATGAGGGCGGGTTTCCAAATGGCTGGTAGGTGGGAGGTATCATCTCGTTTATTCATGCTGTGTGGGTGTTTTCTATCTCTATGGCTTCTCTGATTATTCTGTTGTTGAAATGTTCAGTTTTGGCAATAGTTCTGGTATTTTTAAAGTCAATCTCATGTCCTGTGGCATTGAGGTGTTGGACCAGGGAAGAGGTCAGTTCTTTTTTGATTGAGTTCTTGTGTTCTTCAATGCATGCACTTATTCTTCTGTTAGTTTGTCCGATGTATGTGGTGGGGCAGGCGGTGCAAGGGATTTCGTATACTCCTTGGTTTTCTAACTCGATTTTGTCTTTAGGGTTTCTTAGGATGGTAGACATTTTTCTGTTTGTGCAGAATGCTGTTTTAATGTTGTGTTTTTTGAGGATCTTGCTGATTTTGTCTGTAGTGCCTTTTATATATGGGAGGAGGGCTTTGCCGTTCTCTTGTTCTCTGTCTTGGATTTTGGTTGGGGTTTCTTTTTGGATTAGGTGGGTAATCTTCTTTCTTTGGAATCCATTGGCTGTTAGTACACTAGTGAGAGTGTGTAGTTCGGTTTTTAGGTGTTGTTTGTCGGCTAAGCATTTTGTTCTGGAGATGAGTGTCTCGGCTCCGGAATTGATCTGTGCTGGGTGGTGGTGTGAGAGTGCGTGTAGATAGCGGTTTGTATGTGTTTTCTTCTGGTAGATGGTGTGTCCTAGGGAGCCATTGGATTTTTTGTATACCAAGACATCTAGGAAGGGAAGTTGATTGTTAGCTTCTGTTTCCATGGTGAATTGTATTTTGGGGTGTAGGCTGTTGAGGTGTGTGAGGAAGTTGTTCAGTTTTTCTTTCCCATGTGGCCAGATTATGAAGGTGTCATCTACGTATCTGAGCCAGAGTTTGGGTTTGTGATCATATTTTTCTAGAGCTTGTGTTTCAAAGTGTTCCATGTAGAGGTTTGCGATGAAAGGTGAGAGGGGTGATCCCATGGGTGCTCCTTCTATTTGTTTGTATTTTTGTCGGTGAAGTATGTATTGGATAGGCAGTGGTTGGTCAGATCTAGGATGTGCTTGGGGGGGGTTGTATTTGTTTTGGATGGCTGTCAAGGCTTCTTTTATAGGCACTTGGGTGAAGAGGGATATGACATCGAAGCTCACTAGTAGGTCGCTGGGTTGTAAGTTTTGTTTCTTGTTCATTGATCTCAATGAACTGGAATGAGTTTCTTATGTGTGAGTTGATGGATTCTGCATAGGGCTGTAGTTGTTTGGCCAGAAATTTGGCTAGGTTTTGTAGAGGTGAGCCTATGGAGCTGACTATTGGTCTAAGTGGGGTTCCTTCTTTGTGTATCTTGGGGAGACCATAAAGCTTAGGGCATCTGGATGATTTCTCTCTGGGTATGATTCTTTGCTCTGTTCTATTCTATTCTATTCTATTCTATTCTATTCTATTCTATTCTATTCTATTCTATTC